GAATCTTCTCTTTATACAGGATAATAAATTATACATGCCATGAAAAATGCATTGGGAAATTTTGCTGATGTCAGACATTGTTGTTCTCCAAGGTAAAACTGAGAACTATTTAGGACATCAAAACGGACAGGGCAAAGGGAACTGTCAGAACGGCTTCACTTTTGAAGGTTAACGTAAATTTCAAATAAAACATTGATGAGTAACAGACACCTTTCAAAAAATTAAAGTTGAATGCTACTTGAAGAACATTTTAAAAATACTGTAGTAGACCGTAATTTTGAATATACGATGAGAAAAATCATGTTTAATTCAAAATGGCTTTCAAACAGATTGTAAAAAAATAAATGAACACACAGTGCGTACTTACAAATCAAACACCAGGTAGTGAAAACCCTCTTCTGATATGCTGTCATGAAGTCGTACTGGAAGAAAGAAAAAGGAAAAGGAAAAGGAGATTTGTGTTATCAATATTATACATTATACATATACCAATGATCAACATTAACCCAGATTTCTAGTGAGCATCTGTCTGCTAACTAGAAATGTGAGCATTATACTTTATTTTAGCTTTTGATAATTCAGTATCTTTTTCAGCATGGTTTGGGTACAGATGACAAACCCAAGATTATCTGGTTTTGATAATTACTAATTATATGGTCTTGTAAAAATTCCTCATCTTGCAATAATATTAGTATATATATTTCATTAAATAGTTAAGATGAAATAAGATGATAACAGTAAAATAATCCACACATTTCCAGGAAAATACTAAACAAATAATTGTCATTGTAATATATATCCATATATCCAAAGTTGCCGGGTTCTTCCTTTACTATCAGTGAAGTCCACGTCTCAACAGGCAGCAAAGGAAAGGGACCCTTTGGATTCTAGTAACTGGTCTCCCTGACGCTGCTCTCTCTTTTGTCTGAGAATTTCCACATGGCACTCCTTGGCCTACCTGCCAAAACATAAGTTTTTATTATTTTATTATTTCTTTACGCAAGTCACCAAAATCCAATTACCAATTGATTAGCCAAAAATATACAGCTAGAAATTTTAATAAAATAATCTGCTAGTTCCTCAAATTAATATTACTTTAAATTTTCAAATAAGCTAGACCATCACTGATAATTCTAAACTAACTCACACGTAACATTTATGTGCTTTGTACGCTATTTATTTTTGTATAATTACCTCAGTCATTTCCTCCCAGTTGTCCCTTACCCGCCCAAATGATAAAATAAATTCTTCCTATTTATCCGACTCACTTGAAGAGGTGACTTGACCTTCACTGAAGGCAACAGAAGTCAGGAAATGCAACAAAGTGTGAGGACACCACTGCTTTCAAGAAACTTACCACATAGAATAATCATTCTACTATGACCTGTCCTTAGTATCTTCCTCATGCAGTCATGACAACCACATGGTTCACATGAAAAATGTGAATTTACAAGAATATTCAGTTCATTACTCAAACTACAACCATCTGTCTACAGAGGTAGACAACCATCTGGAATTACAAAGCTTGTAGACTTAATGTAACCTCCATTCTTTGTAATTCCAATTCCATCCTCATTGGATTTCACCCCTGCCCACTATTAAAATCTTTTCAAATCCCTCTTAGAAATTTCCTCTAAGTGGAGAAAGAGAGACTTTTGCTTTACTACTAATTATAGATTAGCATTTGTGAAACCTGGAGTTTCTATTGGTTGTTACCATGAGGAGGAGGCTGACGGAGGAGGCAGCTGAGTTCACTCTCAGACCCTCTCTTCCGTTTAGCATGAAAGGCAAACACACTGCAGTCTGCCCCTCCTTATGTGACCTTTTTTGGTCACCCTTGAGTTCACTGATGGAGCATGTTTTAACTTTACTAACTGTACCTAACACATGTCCTTTCTTCATTACACAATCTCCTCACCAATACTACCAAACAGAATCATGTTTTATAAATCTTTGCATCCCACACAGAGATCTGTTACATAGTAGAAAATGTTTTATTAAATCGTTTTTGAACATTTCTTATGCCAGGTTTTGGACAGAAACTTTCACCCAATCTCAGTAGACCTATATACATCTAAAACAAAACAAATGATGGGCGAGCAAGTCTTCCATCACTCTGTGTAGAGTGTTCTTCAAGTTGACAGTATCAGAGATGCCCGCTGCCTTTGTTTAAACTTACAGTGTTGCTGGATGCCAATGGCTCTGGCCTGTAACACGGACACTTTGGAAAGCTAAAGCAGGAGGATTACTTGAGGCCAACAGTTTGAGATTAGCCTGGGTAACAGTCTCTCCAAAATATATTAAAACGTAGCCAGCCAGGAATGGTAGCACATGTGTGTAGCCCTATCTACTGAGGAGGCTGAGGCAGGAAGACTGCTTGAGCCCAAGATTTTGAGGTTACAGTGAGCTATGATCACACCACTACATCCCAGCCCAGGTAACGGAGCAAGGACTGGGCTCTTAAAAAATAAATAAATAAAAATAAACATATGCTGCTTAAGAAAATTAAGAGTTTGGTTTGATAGAGCTTCTGCTCTCATCATCCAATGCAGTAAAAAAAAAAAAAAAAGAAAAGAAAAGAAAAAAGAAAAAAAAAAACCCAGGTTATGGCTGTTAACTCACTGGCTTTCCTGAATGACAGTCTTAGGGAGACCTCATTGCATAGCTATCAGAGTCTGTATTTAAATGAGTTTGAGTAATGGTAGGCTACTTAAAGAACTCACGCAATTACACTGGAAAATAAGATGAGCTCCCATGCTAGAAAAGTTAAAATGCAAGTCAAGTCCACAAGATGAACAGGAGGAAGCCATCACTACTTTCCTCAAGGAAAAAACTTCAAGTGGAAGTGGGATCTCAGGTGCTCAGATCAAAGAGTTCTAGAGCTGAATGGAATAGGCTATTTCTTGGACAAGCAGCACTAATTTCTGATTACACTAGGAATAAAATTTTCTCAGTATAACTGCCATTATCTGATTAATACGAGTTAACACTAAATAATTATCACTCAGAAATCAATTATTTTTTGAACAAGTCAAGAGTTGTTCAGGGGCAAGCCTGATAATGAAAGGTGGTGCCAAAGTATTTAACCAGCGAGCAGGACAACGGTTCAAGGCAAACCAACTGGCTAAGTCCACTCCTTTCGAATCAAACAATTCAAAAATAATCTCTAATACGTCTAACTAGCCATTTGACCACAGGAGGTTCATTGTGAATAAATGACATTATGGAGGCAGCAGAAACAGCCGGCATCATTTTTACTTGGATTGCTATGCACACGTTCCCTGCCTTCCTATGTCTCCTTACTCCCTTCCATTCCCTTTTTAAAATAAGGTAGGAAAAACAGAACTACATAAAATCATTACAATTTCACAAAACTACATAATATAGTCTCCACATGTTCTGATTACTTTAAGGATGTTTCTGATTACTCTTCAAAAATGTTACCTCTTGACTATTATTCTCAGAGTTGATGATACGTCTATACAGCCTGGAAGATGGTATCTGACACAGTCACAGGCGTCATCTATTTCTCTTTAAGCCTTTTTGTGTTGATCAGAAGTATTCCTTTCCCATCCTTTTTGCTTTTTAACAGTTTTCTCAAGGGTTAGAGATTGCATTTACTTTTGCACAATGTTACATTAATTATTCCCCATAAATAACTTATCAACTCATTTTCACACCCAAAGAATTGCTAGACGTTTTCTTCTTCACAGTCGTTAGCCCAAGACTGACTGCATGACCAGCCTTGAAAGCCCAGTGGCTGCTGTATGCTGCAGCTCACAGCACCATGTCCCTGCCTCGGCTGTGCTGTTCACGCCATAAGCTGTACACATGGGGGCACATAATTACCCTAATTACAGTTGTTCCTCCAACATTTCAGAGAGAAATTTTAAAGATGCAAATGAGAAAACCATTTCAGAAAACAAATTATAATATATCTTGGCAGTCATTCTTTCTTGAAGTTTGCTCAAAGGTAAAATCAAGTCTGCTTATGTATACAAATGAACTTTTGTAAACTGAAACACTATAACAGTTCTCAGCTTCAATGAATTTAAAATTCTAGAACTTTTAAGCATGAAATTTATAAGAAGGGAAAAAGTGCTTCTGAAGTTAAAGTATTTCTTTTTTTTTTTTTAATTGTTTGAGATTCATTGAGGGTACAAAAAATTAGGTTACACTGACTGCATTTGTTAGAGAAAGTCCCTCTTATAATTGTGTCCTGCCCCCAAGGTGCGCCATACACCTTGACCCCCCCATCCCTCTCTCTCCTCCCCTCTCCTGGCTCCCTCATTCCCCTACTCCACCCCTTGTATTAGCTCATCTACTGTCTTCATATGAGAACTGAGTACGTTGGATTCTTGCTTCTCCATTCTTGTGATGCTTTACTGAGAGGAATGTGTTCCACCTCCATCCAGGTTAATATAAAAGATGGAAAGTCTCCATCTTTAAAGTGTCCCTGGGGTACATACACCACAGCCTGTTAATCCAGTCCTGGGTGGTGGACACATCCCAAGGATGCAAGGCTGGTTTAAAGTGTTTCTAAAGGTTAGCTGACCTATAGCCTAATCTTTTTCCTCTCTTTTCTACATATGCATTATCAATTTGATATTTTGCATTCTAATTATCACAGGATCACTCTTTTCTTCCTATATTACTGGATGATTTCAGTACAGTTTCTGGCTAAGAATTATTTCCACAAAGACGAGGCCAAATAAAACCATTATCCTTTCATGAACTGAGAAAAGAAATTCTACTTAAATATGGCAAAAGTTTTCTGTTCCTTTTAATATTTTATTTCATTTAAGGGGTTGAGAGATACAAAAATTCACAATTACAGTGCTTGCAAATAATCTTGTAAATAATTTTGCAAGAATTATTTTATTTAATATAGAAAGTGTCAAAAATGTATACACTTTTTTAAAATTAAATCATAGCTGGGTACATTAATACAATCATGGGGTACCGTGTGCTCTTTTTATATACAATTTGAAATATTTTCATCAAACTGGTTAACATAGCCTTCATGTCATTTCCTTAGTTATTGTGTTAAGACATTTTATTTATATTTATAATTTTTAATATTTA